AGCAACGAATTAATTAAAACTTAAAAAAATTAATTTTAAAAGTTTGAGACAATTACATTAGATAATTACAAATTACATAATTTTTGAATTACATAATTTATTATCGTATTCTTATCACACTTGATTATCTGAACAGATTGTCTGTTATCTACAATCAAGAACTGAATTTATGTTTTAGCCATCCTGGAGGCATCTTTCTCATTTAGATAATCAAACGATGATTATTTATAAATCTTCCGATGTCAAACTCAGTTGGGAGCATTATCAAGATGGAGAAGGTCATACACATGGAACTCCAAAGACCTGCGATTACGTTAAAGAAGATATAAGTATGACTTTATTTAAAAATTATTAAAAAATTATTAGAGACCAATTTTCGACAATTTTTAGCAATTAATATCTTGTTAACTATTGCGAAAATTGCAAAATGATAAAGGACTTTCCGTCTCAGTTTAGTCTGCTCTACATGTCCATGAACTTCATCAGAACAATTATCGGACACCCTATATATTTCAAAATTAATTTTTTCAGCTTCAAAAAATACTTGCTGTGGCTTTCGTGATTCGTTCGCGTTAGAGATACTATAGTTTGCATTATCTCTGGAATCTAATCTGGAATCTAATCAGTAAATCAGAAGAAGAAATGGAAACTGGAAGCCTAGACAAGATTCAGATCAAAAGAGAATATAAATAAAAGAAAAGTAAAAAAAGAAATTGCTATATAATATTATCGCAAATGCAAATGACATGGACATTTTTGAACCACCATTGGATGATGCATATCCTAATCCAGCATTAGCACAACACATACAATTGGCACAATATGAAAAATATGTACAGAACAATACTGAACAAATTGTAAGGAATGAAATTTGTTGACAATTAGCAATTCAATTGTGATTAATGATTTCTATGTACTGTTATCGATATGATATTTTGACTTTTGTAACATTTACAATTATTCGTTCAAAATTACTGTACAATAAATTGTAATTAAAAAAATAATACGCTATATATTTGTAATTTATTTATATTTTATTCATATTCTTTTTAACATGTAGCATAACATTTTCCTATAATTTAAAATGAGTTATAAGTAGCTTTAGAACATATAAACTATCATAAAAACAAAACAGTACATTTGTAACATAGAATTTGATTTTCATTGACATAGATATTTCAATTAAAAATAATAAAATAGATAATATTCTTTAATAAATTTCATAATAATCTGTAATAAAAAACTAAGTTGAGTTCTTTTAGTTCTGATAAAATTGCCTGTAGTATAGAATTTTGATTTTTGAATAATTTGTTCTGTTCCAGCAATATATAACATTTTTTTCCTTTAAAATATTACTTCTTTCTTCTTTTACTGGAGTTTTGTTTTCTTTCAATTCCAAATATATTTTTTTAAAGTCTTCGGATATATTCGAAGAATTCTTCGCCAAAACATAAATGTCGAACGATATGTGTAAGAATTACTTATACAATATAGTTGTACACGTATAGTATAATTTCTTATTAATTAAAATTACATTAATAAACGTTCTTTCGATGATTAAAATGACAAACTTATTTTACACAACAAGTAAGAATTTATAGCATATAATAGTCAAAGCTGGATCTTAGATTATATAATTTCTATGTGAATTCATATATTACGTTATTGGAATTGCATACCGAATTGATTTTTCAGCACATTACGTATCTTTCTAATAAAGTGACTGAGCATCAAATTATTAAATTGTTTGTCGATTTAATTTGTGATGTTACTATAATAGTTAATTACGTTTTTAATTACGTACTTTAATTACGTTTATAAGTCCAGAAAGCCAATTCGGTACGCCATTCACACACACACAAATGACTATATATTTAATATATTATAAATTCATATATAAATTATATAAGCATCTAAGATCTAGCTTCGAGCGTTACAGGTTTTACATTCTTACTTATTATGTTCGATCCACAATCTTGCTTTATGAGGTCGTAAGTCGTAAAGCCTTAGTCAGGATTTACAATAGATGTTTTAAGCCTTAAGGGAATACTCGATTGTGATTCGCCCATTTCTTATAGCTTAAGGCTTAAAACCCCATTGTAAATCCGGTGTAACAGTAACCCGGTGTAATAGACATATAAGATAGATCCAGCACCTATATATTTTTCTATAGTATATGCTGAGTTTGGGAGAACAGTGCAAGAGACAAAATATCGGAGCAACCTATTCTTCTTTGAGCGCACACATTCATATTACTGAAAAAAATAAAATAAGATATAAAAGTAAGTGTATATAATACTCAAGAATTTTATCTTCCTCATCGATTTTGATGAAATTAGAGTAGAAAATATTTATTCTAGTCTCACTTATATGTTCTTATGTCTCTATGTCATCTTGCAAGATTAAATTCAACAAACCGAATTCCACAAGTAAATGATGAGAAATAATACGTTTATAATTCATCATCGATGCGCCTGTATTGAATGTGTTTATAAAGCTATTATGTGTTATATGATATATATCATATATGATAAAATTTTCATTGTAATAGATTAATTTCTTAATCTATTGTGTTTTACCATTATTTTAGGAAATACGAAGGAAGAAACCGGAAGGACAGAGGAGTCACTAGCAAACGCGGAATCTATAGGAAATGATATCCTTGAAATTTTAGACAAAGGTATTATATTATTGTATATACATGTTTTATTATTATTCTCCTATAGCGATATACGAACATTGATGTAACATATGATGAAGTTCCCATTGTAATAGATATGTCAAATTTCTAATCTGTTATGTGATTCATTGTGGTTAATTGTCGTTTTAGAAAGTCAAGAAGAAAATATAAGAACGGAGGTCACGAGCGTAGAATCTAACAGAAACGAGACAAACGAGATTATAGATGACGGTATGAATGTTTTATATGTACATTTTATATTTAATCATTATAATTTCATATATATTCTTATAATATTAGTAATAAAATTATTTTATTATGTTGGCAGATGACCGTATTTATAATACATCGTGCAAAATTGAAATCACTGTGTCATGTGATATGCCTGTGGCCTCAACAAGCTCACGCACTTTCACTAGTCGATCAGTCGAGACAATATCATGGACTTTATCGATGATTTCTGGCGTAGCAGCCTCAATGAAACATCCCGAACGAGGTGCATCACATATGGACGTATGTTTAAATTCATTTACTCAATTGTATACAGTCGCAAATGCTGGTGCAGATGTGCTATGAACATTATCCAACTCGGATTTGATTTCTTTTGGCATTAAATCTTTCATATCTATACATTTTGTACTCACTGCTTTAATTCATATGAGGAATGCTTGTCCATTTTTCCATGGCATGAAAATATAAATGTAGTATGCTACGATTCACGTTTTTCGTTTTGTGAAAAAGTGTTCTACAAAAATGATTATGTAAAGTGAATCTGTAAAATCATTTATACTATCATGATGATGTCATATGTGCACACTTTTCCAATCTCACTATCGAAACTCGATTAAGAACATCGTTTCGAATGAAATTGGTCTTTAAGGGGAGAAATACATGTAAAATTTTAACAAAATCGAAATTTTTTTTTACATATTTTAAAAGTATCATCCCTTAAAAGTATTCTGGCGAAGTATCAAGTCGAAATATGACATATTTACGGAGAAATAGCCCATAGTCGAGAGCTGGTGTAAGTGGCAGAAAGCTGTCGCTTTGAATAGAGACTCGACACTTGAAGATTTGACACCACTGCTTGGCCAGGAAATGAAAGAGCACCTCTTACCAATATACGAGAATTTATCTAGAGAAGATCTTCTAGAAAGGTGCTTGGGTGGTCACACTCAGAACGCCAACGAAAGCTTTAACTCCACCATCTGGCGATTGACCCCCAAACACTTACATTCTGGCCAAAAAATAATCGAGTTATCAGCCTGCATTGCAGCCGGAGTATTCAACGAAGGCTACAATTCAATATTGAGGCTGATGAACCAACTGGACATCGTTGTCGGAAATCAAGCTCTCAATTTTGCTAAAAATACGGACGAAGCTCGCGTTACACGACAGAACAGGATGAGCCAAAGCGAGACAAAAGCTGCCCGTACTGCCAGGAAACAGCAACAACTGGAAGATAATCAGCTTTTCGAGGAAGCTGAAGAGCTATTGTATGCACCTGGAATCGCTGATTGATCGGTAAGTCGCAAAAACCAATAGTT